TCGAGCCGGTTTGCATTGTGTTATTGGAATGGATCCCCTAGATATTGAACCCGGCCCTTGTTGCTGCCAACTCTGACGGGCAGAAGGGTTACACCTGTCTCTGTAAAACCAAGGGTATCGTCTCTCCTTTTTATCATAGGACTGGGGAGAAGAAACCAGTAGTAGGAAGGCCTGGGATTGTCTATCAGGCATGCTGAGAAAACTGAGGTAAAGGCTGTCCTTTCTCTCTTCTCTCCTTGCCCAGGGAGGAGAATGACCTAAGGGTTTAGTCAGGCAGTGGGCATGTAATACTTGATGCCAATGACTTTCTATCTCTCTTACCAGGTCCAGGCTCATACCCTATTAGTCTGTTACAAACCAGGGAAAGTGTAAGGAAAATGGAAGGGCCAGGCTGGAAGAGGATTCAGCTTGATTTGCTCTGCTTCTGCTTGTATGACATGGCACTCGTCAGAAGCTACCTAAAGCCAGTTTTGGCCACTTTTCAAACTTGTCAGAAGTTAATATGCAAATGAGAGTCTCCTATGATATCTAATTTGAAATATAAGTGAGATATTAGACTACATGTCTTACACTTCAAAGTGGTGTATGTTATCAGGAACTAAAGAGCTCTGATAGATTATGAAATGCTGAGTGGTCCAAAGATTATTGAGACAGTGATTGGGATATACGACATTTCCAATGGGCAAATCCTAGACTTGTAGGGCTAAGTTTGTTCTGGTGGGAGATCCATCACAAAAACTAAACAAAACAAAAAACACCTAAAAATGGTGTTAAAAAGAAACTATTAAAGTTTACAAAGGTAGATTTTAACACTAGAGGGAGCTGTTATCACACAGAATAATATGTTTAACTTTTAACCCAGAATAATGGTAATATTTTTCTTGATAACAGGATGTATGAAGAAACTCATAGGATTCCAAAGATTTCTGGCAAAAGTTATTTATGTGATAAGGTATGTTATTCTGACCGGGCCAATGGATAACCAGTTTATTAAACTTGTTTTCTTTCTTTCTCTCTTTCTAAAATATATTCAGTCTATAGTAATTGTCTTTACATAAAATCATTTGAAATTTGAAAACAAGCAAGCTGAATGGACAAGCTACTTTTGTGTGTTTATACAAAATAACAGGAGTGACAGCATCTGCTGTAGTTAAAGTTTTTTTAAAAATCATTCCAACCCTATTTTCAGTCTCCCATAAATATCTGAAACTTTAATCTTTCAGGTTGAAATTTTCCAAGCTTGGTCCCTATCCTAGGGTGAATGTTTGAAGAAAAACAGTGGAATGTTTGAAGAAAAACAATACAGTTGAGTACAAGGAGAATGAAAAATCTTGCTTCCTTTTTTAAAATAAACACACTTTCTAATAATCACAGTCAAGGTGGAAGGCAGCACCACTACACCAATAGATATTATATATCTCTCCTGGAAATTATTATACTTTGTTCTTGAAATATACAGAGAGTATAGCTCTATTCCTGCAGTTGGATCCAGGCAGTTAGATCTTTGTCTGCACTGACTTTACTGGCCTATGACCTCAGTGGGGCTCCAAGAATCCATTTGCAAGACTGTAACCTATATTTCATATAGTTCAGTCTATATAAATATATGAGGGGTAAAGACCTTTCAGGGAGTTCAAGGATGCCCTCCTTTGGGAATTTATTTATTTATTTTTGTACCAGACATTTGGTTCAATCTGCTCCATTCCAAAGACAAACTAATAACTCTTCAGACTTTTTTTAATGAGCTCCACGAAAAAAGGTATCTCTGGCAAACAAGAGGTGGGCTCCAACGGAGGCAGCTAAGTCATGCCAAACCTCCCTTCTGTTTGATTATGGAGTTTTAATGAGGAGCACCCCCTGTAGCACATCACCAGTGTTGTTTTGGAAGTGAATATGTGGTGAAATTATATCGCTAACATTAGAAAAATGAGTCTTAAAGTGAGGGTTCAGTGTCTAGACAACTTGAAAACACTGATGGAGGAAACCCAACAAACTCAATACATCTATTAGAGCTGGACACAGCACAACAAGGGATGAAACATAATCAAACATGAATATAGTATATTTTTGGTGTCATAGGCTGTCACGTAATAGCAACCTTTATGTTCATGAATTTTTTATTCATTCTTTCATAGGTCTTCCACAGGGAGAACCAATTGGATACTAGACTAACAAAAAAAATAGTAACCAGACTCCAATGACCTGTTTAACCCTGAATGTGAGGAATGAAAAGCAGCAGCCTTCTTGGATAGGACAGTGCTTCAGGTATGGAAACACTTTCTTCTGTTGGTTCTTGCTTTCTTTCCTTCTGAGTTAATAGATCACTAACAAAAATTGTCAAGACACTGAGTTGATCATGTTATCTAGATAAAACTTTGTTCCAGCAGTTTTAGAAACAGATACGTTATTAGAACCACAATAGCTAATTTTTTGTCATAAATACTTAACATAAATCTAAATAAATTGAAAATGTAGTAATTTAAAAGTCATATTATCTTAAATGAGAATGAGATTTGTAATTGTTTACCAATATTTCACTCGTCTTTTTAAATATTGTGTCAGCTTTCATGGAAGTAAACAATATTCTCCTTTCTTTATTCCATTGAAACAAAAATATTTCATTCTAAAAACAGGGTTCTAATGTATCTCAGTGATAGGGTATAGGATCTGGTACTAAAATAGGAACTGTGCCTATCTTTATCTTTGTTAATAAAGAAACTTTAACTTGCTCTAGAAAACTGGATTTGACTGTTTTTAATCATCTAAATCTATTATTATTATGATCATATTTTTATAGGTTAACTAAGAGTAAGTAGGCAAAACTCCCATTGATTACAACTGAAGGATGATCAAGATGACTTTGTTAGTGTCTAAAAGTTTGCACAGCTGATCAAGTTCTTGAAAATTTAGTGACAATAACAAAATATTAAAAACAGTGCTTTGTGAGAAAGTACAAATTATGTTAGTTTGCTGTCCTTTAAAGTAAGATCCATCTTAATTTACCATTGTTTTTTGCCTCTGCTGTGGTGCAATGTATCCAGCTTAGGGTAATGGAATTTTTAAATCGTGTTGTAGGTCAGTGACTTCATATTGTTGTCTGGTTATGAGAGGTTTGATAATGTCAGTGGGCCTTATCCTTCTCCCATTGACTCGAGCATGAGCAGGATGGGTCCCAATGTTAGTGTCATGTTAAACTTGTTACAGCCATAGGATTCTTAACAAATGGAACTGTAATGCAGCTAGTAAATTAATATTTTAGGCCTGAAATAACATATTCCTTAATGGTTAATTTTTTAGTATGTTCAATTCATTTAATGGGTACTTTTGCACCATGACATTTATTTCAGCTGGATGTTTGAATTTCAGTAATTCACAGGATCTTGAACCTTGCTTTTATTTATTTGAATAAGAAATCATGAAAAGAAATCATAAATGTAAATAATGTTTCCTTAAGGAAATCAAATAGGTTTTGCCAAAATTACGTAGTTTAGTTTACTTTTGTGTGTAATCTTGTGTAACCTTTTGACCAACATGATGTTTGGTTTTTTTGGGGCGGGGGGTTTGTTTGTTTTTAATAAAAAGAAAAGGAGTACTTGTGGCACCTTAGAGACTAACCAATTTATTTGAGCATGAGCTTTCGTGAGCTACAGTAGGTTAGTCTCTAAGGTGCCACAAGTCCTCCTTTTCTTTTTGCGAATACAGACTAACACGGCTGTTACTCTGAAATTTGTTTTTAATGGCATGCTTGCTCTTATTTTACAACTGAATACAGATAAAGAGTTTGAATTTGTTACAAAGCTGAATCTGAACCAAAATGCGGCCTAGTAAATAATATATGAATAAAGGCCAGATAATGTTTCTAGCTCAGCAGTGAGAAGAGAGAAATGGCACAGTAGTAGTTTTAGTTTACACACTAATCTTTTAGTTCTCAGAAATGTTTATCTCCAAAGCATGCCCACAACTCACTGTAGATATTTCTTATGGTTATAGTCTGCTGTGATCAGAGCTTTGTTGTGGCTGTTCTGTTGTCAAAGAGGCAGATCTTTCCCTCAACACCAAATCCAAGTATAGGTGCCAACAGCATATAAAGAAATTCTTCAGGTATCAGGAGCACACCTCCTCATATGCTGCGAAGTGGTAGTGGAGCCACTCTGTGGATGGTAGTTTGGTGGCCAATTCCACCTGCAGGAGGAATGAGGTAATGGCTGATTGATCTGCATAGCAGTGCATCCAATGACTAGTCTACATTTAACCCTCATTCACGCCATGCAACTGAGGGGCCCTGTAACAAATTTATCACAGACTTCTTATAGTATAATAATTCTGGCAGAATTCATAAGACACAACCATGACATCTGAAGGTGAGACCCTACTTTCACTTCAGCTTTTCACACATATAAGATTACTATAGAAGGTTAATTTTATAATATAGTCCATTGGGCTCAGTCCTTGGCCTCTGGTCTAGTCACTTTGTGCTGCTCAGGAAGCAAAAAGTGGTCAGAAATCTGCTCTAAAAAGGGTGACTTGGGTGATATAAAGCTAACATCCCATTGAAAGAAGCCAATGCTCTTAGTGGAAGGTTCAATTATACTTGCAGGACTTGAAAGAGAAGGGGAAAACAAACTAACCAATTATCCTGAAATGTCCTTTTACTCTGTTCAGGCCTGATTCTGCATGCATTGAAGTTAATGGGAATTTTGCTAATAATTTAATTGAGAGCAGGTTCAGGCATTTTATTTGGGACATTCGGCACCTAACCCAAGCATTTTTATTTTGGGGGGGCCATTTTGAAAATCACTTTAAAATAATGTATTTTGGGGGAGAGGAAGGGTCTGTGGCTTTTTTGGAAAGGTATATGCTTTTTCAAATTTACTTACATGTAAAATAGTTTAGAAAGTAACTTTACAAACTAATTAAACCTTATTCAAATTAACAATAAGAAATATTATCCCTACATCTGCAATCCCTGTTGTTCTTTTTTTCCCCCTCAGTAGTCTTGGTAATGCACAGATAAGATGGATGAACAAAGGCAACGGGCTTTATCCACATCAGGAGAAGCACTATATGCAATTCTGGCTCTGGAGAAGGGGGCAACACATGAAGAAATTAAGAAATCTTACAGGTATTTAAGAAGTGTCTAAAACACAGGCAACAAAAATGTTTTATGTCACAACAGCATAGGTTTTACTGTGCTGCAATATTATATGTACTGTCCAGGCAACAGATCCTAGAAACAGCAGTTTATTCAAAGAAGTGTAAATCAGGAGTAACTGCACTGAAGTCCATTGTTGCATATCTGAATTTAATAATGATTTGAGATCGTCAAATAACAGGCTCAAATGTAATTATTTAATCAAAGATTAATACAGCATTATGCAGAATACTGAAAAAATAGATACATTACTACCTTTGGTGCAAGGTAAAGAGATGGTCTCTGTGTCTCTCTTCTCTGTAACTGGTGAGATGCTGGCAATCTAATCTGCACTCCAAAGTAACTTCCCAACCTTCTATCCTTTTATAGGATATGAGACAAACTCCATTTTGGAGGGGAAAATACTTTCCCATCCTTATTTTTATCATATAGTCTGTTTTCCTAATTACTAATGGAATGTCTTTTATGGTCCACAGTTTACCTGACTGATGAGCAAAAAGGAATCTCTAATCTGGTCATAAGTACTAACCGCTATGACAATTGACAGTTCTTAATGAGTTAAAAACATCCTTCAATGGGGTCATTATTTCATCCATTACAGAACCCATCTGCATTAAGAAGTATCCCTTATCAATCATTCGGTTTTGCTTATAACATACTTGTGCAGACGCTTTTTCATTAGTTTGGGGGGTCTCTTCCCTGGACACCTGGACTGCATTAAAGTCAGAGTAAATAGGGTTAAATTATTACACACATTCTGTTATTGAGTTCATTTTCCCGTCACCCATTAGTTTCAACTGAAAGACAAAGAATGTTTTAGTTTCAATAGAGGTAGGACACTAAACGTATCAATACACAACATAAAAAGGATTTTGGGTAGCATATAAAAGAATTATAAGAGTTTATCATACAAAATCATTAAAAAGTTAATATTTACTAACACTAGAGAGTTACATGGTGTAAATTGGGGTGTAAAAGTGAGAGTAAAATCAGGCCCTCCAACGTCAATAACTTACAGTATGGCCAAAATGTTCAAAAATAGTCTTTTATTGGACCAACTTCTATGGGTGAGAGAGACAAGCTTTTGAGCTACACAGAGATCTTCCTCAGGTCTGGGAAAGGTACTCAGAGAGCCACAGACAAATATAAGATCAAACAGAGAGTTTAGCATAAGTAGTTATCACATATGCAAAGGGACCATTCAGGGTGAAGTGGCCTCTTAACACCCCTGCAGGTACAGGACAAAAAGCGGGGTTAATGGGTTACAGATTGTTGTAATAAGCCATAAATAAATAAGACTATGGTCTTAATAAAGACACTGGATTGGGCCAGGAACCCATCCTGGCAAGGCTCTTCCTGGAACACTCATTGCCTGCCAAGAGTGGATGGCCACCTCCAGAGCCTGTGCCAGGTCTGTTGAGGCTATCCCCTGAAAGACTTTTGCCAAGCCATGAAGCGGTGCCGCTTCCAACCACCGCACAGCCGCAAGGGATCTGTTTAGCCTCCCAGTAGTGGTATCACCGGCAGAAGCAGCTGCAGCTGGTATTGATGCCCACAGCTCATACTTCAATGAATCGAGAGATCCTGTGGTACTATTACTGAAGGCCTCTGCAAAAGCCTATGCTGTCAAGAGGAAAGCCTACAATGATTTCCCTGATACCACCATCCCTGGACTCGGGCTACCTCTCATCAATCCCAAATGGATCTGCCCCTCCATTGTCAGAAGTATCTGGCTCTTCTTCAGACTTGGAGGTGAGGTCACTTATATCCCATTCAGGACAGGGAGCATACCCACCCCACAAAAGCTTTGGGAGCATGGGCCATGCAGCAACCTCAGCTTTGGCCTCCTTCTAAGGGTCAATGGTCCAGCCTAGGATGGGTTTCCAGCCCATACCAATGGCATTCTGGACATCATGGGGCCTCCTCCCGCCAGCTAAGACCTCCCCTCAACTGTTCTGCTTGCTATCATGGAGAATGCACCCGAGACATCAGCATCAAGAGCATCATTCCCTAGTACCTGGTACTGAGACCAGTACCGAGCAGTTTCTGGCAGTTTCTCCACCACAAGTCATATACCAACCACCACCTCAGATACATGTTGCTTTCTTGTTCTTGTCACCAGATGAGGCTATTGAGCTGTCAAGTGACTCACAGCTGCGAAAGGACCACAGGGCTTATCAAGATCTTTTGAGAAGGGTGGCCTCGCTACTTAACATTCAGGCAGAAGAGGTGTGTGAAAGCTCTCACAAGTTGGTGGACATTCTGGTATCGGCAACCCCCAGTCAGGGTGGCTCTGCCAATTAATGAAGCCATTCTGGAGCCAGTCAAGGATCTTTGGCAGACACCCTCTTCCTTGCGCCCCACAGTAAATCAAGCTGAGAGGAGGTACTTTGTGCTCTCTAAGGGGTATGAACATTTTTACTCTCATCTCCCCCACCTCCAGTTCTCTTGTGGTGGCAGCTGCCAATGAGTGGGAAAGACACGGACAACAAGCATTGACACCGAAAGGCAAAGACTCAGAGACTGGATCTGTTTGGTTGCAAACTTTATTCCTCAGGGAGTCTACAACTCAGATTTGCAAACCAAAAGCCATTCCTGAGTCACTATGATTTCACCCTCTGGGAGAACATTATAAAATTTAAGGCCAGTTACCAGAGAACTGTAGATAGGAGTTTGCAGTAATGGCTGAAGAGCATAAGCTGGTCACTAGGACTGCTCTCCAGGACAGTATGGATAGTACAGACTTGGCTGCTTGAATCATGGCATCAGCTATTGTTATGAGAAGGTATTCATGGTTGCTGTCACCTGGGCTACCCCTAGATGTCCAACAGACTATCCAGGACCTCCCTTTTAAAGGTCCCTTGCTTCTTTTTGGGAAAAAATGGATGACAGCCTTCATAGCCTTAAGGATTCCAGGGTGATACTCAAATCCCCTGGAATTTATACCCCGCCCATGAAGAGAAAGTGGTTTCATCCACAGCAGCCATACAGTCACCAAGTTTTTGCTCCCTGATCCCAAGATCTGCTAAGAAAAAAGGGCAGGGATTATGGAAGGCACCCTCCAATGCCCGTCTCTTCAGCATCAGTGGCTCATCCTGTCCAGTCATCTCATCCAAACAGGCATTTTGATGGGGTTGGTTGAAGGCAATGTACAAGTTCCCATAGTTCCATCAATTTCCCATCTTTTGTTTACCAATCACTTGTTCCACTTCCTAGGTGTTTGGGTTTACCTAACATCAAACTGGGAGGGTGAGGAGGTGGTGGTGCGGGGGGTGGTCTTAAGCATGATGTAACTGGGATATGACATCCAGTTCATTTCTACCCCCCTTTCCCCATCCCTCTTCAGGGACCACCCACACAAGATTGCCCTTCAACAGGAGGTCCAGTCTCTTCTTCAGGCAGGGGCCACAGAAGAAGTCCAGTGGTACTTCAGGGGAAAGGCTTCTATTCCTGCTACTTCCTCGTTCCTGAGGCAAAAGGAGGCCTCAGGCCTATTTTAGATCTAAGAAAGTTTAACAAATTCCTGAAGAAAATAAAATTCCACGTTATTACCCTAGCTTCCATTATTCTTTCCCTGGAACAGGGGGACTAGTTTGCTGCCTTCAACTTAAAGGACACTTACTTCCATGTCACAGTACACCATGACCATTGGAATTTTCTCAGATTTGTGGTGAATGGTTGCCATTATCAGTTCACAGTGCTTCTGTTTGGTCTGCCAGCTGCTCCTTGGTTGTTCACGAAGTGCATGGTGGTGATGGCAGCACATCTACAAAAATTAGGTGGCCGTGTGTTCCTGTACCTGACTGGTTGATCAGAGGTCAGGCCAAGGCTCCAGTCCTATCCAGCATATCCACCATCCTGTCCACATACAATGCACTGGGACTCCTATGTAAATTGGGACAAATCACTCCTGAAACCAGTACAGACAATAGAGTTCACTGGAACTCCTCGAAGGCCAAGGCCTTTCTATTGCAAACTAGGTTCAAAACGTTATGGAATCTAGGTCTGTGGCCGAAAGCATACCCTCTCACCACGGCATGCAGGTGCGTCAGTCTCCTGAGTCACATGACAGCTATGAAGTTCAGCATGCAGGCTGCATCTCAGAATGCTGCAGACATGGCTAGCATCAGCGTATGCCCCAAGTCATCACCATGTGTAAAAAGTGGTTTGAGTGTCAGCTTCTTTTAAAATATATGAACAAATTACAGAGGTGTTTCCTGTGTTTTATTAAGAAAGGATAGAAATGTCACATGGTTACATCACAATGGAACAAGATTTTGAGAATTAATTTCTTGACACCTTTAACAATTGCTTTGTGCCAAGTAAATCTACAGCAAGGAAGAGAAGAGACTATTCTTGACTTAGATCTAAGTAACACAGAGAAATTAATTAAATTTTTTTTTTCCTGTCATCAGTACCCAGGGCATACATTTAGGACTACATTCTCCCCTCAGTCCACAGCCCATTGATCCCAGTGGGAGGTTTGCACAAAAATCAAGACTAGAATATAGCTCTTATTTAATACCTACATTTTTAGTGTAACCCTTCTGCCAGGCCAAGTTGATAGCAGCAAGGGCCGGGTTCAGTACACAGGGGTTCCCTCTCATCAAAGCAAATGCAAAACTGGCTCGAGCCCCCACCCAGTGACCTGGGAAAATCTTACACAAACCCCTGGGTGCCTCAAAGAGGCAATACTTCCCCTCTCGCAAGCACAGAGTTTCGGTGTAGCAGAGCATCTTTAATAACATGAGGTAAACGACATCAGCATTAAATTGGGGAAACACCACAACTAGTGTTCATTAACCAAACCATGAGCAAAGACCCACCCCAGCAAATTGGGCCACATCCTTTCCCTCGGGGTCTTCAGTCCCAGAACCCAAATGTCTCTTGAGTCCAGCAATCCACAAATCACCCAAAGTCCAAAAAGTCCAGCCCCAGAGTTCAAAAGTTCATCTGCATAGTGTTACTTCCCAGTCTGGCTAAAATGTGCCTGTGTGTGGGGGAAAGAGGTAAGGGGCACCTTATGTGTCCTGACGCTGACTGCCCCACAGGGCTCTGCTCCGCTCCGCTGTTTCACGAACGGCTCCACTCCACCACAACCGGCTCCGCTCTGCACAGCTCGCCGTCTCACGAACGCTCCACTCCGCCGTCTCACGAACAGCTCTGCTCAGCTCGCCTCGCCATCTCACAAACGCTCCGCTGTCTCACAAACGGCTCCACTCTGCATAGCTCACCTCACCGTCTCACGAACACTCCGCCAGCCTATCCACGAACAGCACCACTGCACTCTAGATCTTCTGGCTCCCCACTACTTGACACAGTGCTCAGTGATTCCAGCTCTCAGTGATTTCAGCTCATAGTAGTGGGAGCCTCAGTGCTGGTGCACCATAAGGCCAAAGTGAATTCAGCACAGTAGCTGTAGCAAGACTCTTAATAGACCCAAAGTTAGCTCTGACATTCCACAGTGAAGAGAGACAGAGGTGCAATTGGTATTTCAGGCCCTCACAAAGGGTCCACACCACCAGGTACTAATACCTGTCTCAAGCCTCTCAAGTCACAGAGTTTTGGAACCCATGTCCCTTGCCTAGCGAGTGGGCTACTTAGTTGATGGTGAGTCCTCCATCATAACAAAAGGCCAAGTACAGTTCCAAGCACAGTTCCCATAATCAGGGTAATAACAATTTATTCTTCCCGCCCCAATAACAGAGACACTGGGGATCCCACAACAGCCAAAGTGACCATTTGGGCAGTTATGGCCTCATTCTAGGCGGGCTGGGTGTGCCTATGCAAATGAGATCAGCCCCTGAAGTTCTTTTCCACAACTTGCCACACCTCGCCACCAGATGTCAGGGTGGAGCTCATCCCGACTCCGCTTACATCAGTTATCATCATTTTTATTATTTGTTCAGTACTTTATTGTCTCCACATCGCTCAGTGAAAAACTACCCTCACCTTTAGGGTCACCACTGTCACTTCTTGTTTCTCTTCTTTCCCCATCTGCTTGTCTCTCTTTCTCTCTCTTTTCCTTTTGTGTGTGTTTCCTTTACTCTTCCCTCTACATTTCCTTACCATCAGGGCTTAATTTCTCCCCGAGTATTTCCCAGAACGCTGGGGCTTCTGCCCCAGGGGGCATGCCAGGATTCCGGGCTTCTGCCCTTCAGGGTGCACTGGGGCTCCCGCGCATTTACAAATATTTATCAGCTTCAGGTAAACATTACTGCATTGGTTTTTGCATTGTGTGTTTGAGTGGGGTGGGACATGGGATAAGTATCTGTGAATCCATCTGTCTCACCACACAGTGAATCTATGCATTTGATAGTGATGACCCAAATCAATACTATATTATATGATGTGGGTCAACACGCACTGGAACACCCTGTGTGACCCTGTGGGGATTTGGGAGTTGTGAGTAGCAGAAAAACACGGGCAATATGGTTCCTAAAAGTGTCATGGACACTGGGTGTGGAGACACAAAAGGGTGAAATCCTGATTCCATTAAGTCAATGGCAAAACTCTCACTGACTTCAGTGAGGCCAGGATTTCACCCATAGTCCCTACATGGATGGTTCTAGACTTGGCAAATCTGAGATCTGTGTGGTTTATGGGGCCAAAAAACATTGTGATTGGGGTCCTAGTGTGGAGCCAGCTGTGGTCACTCAATTAGGGTGAACTGCAAAGAATGGGGCAGACAATCCCCATAAAGCTGGTGGATATTCCATCACTTAGATTTACCAAGACAGCATAAAACAGCTTCTTTATTACCTTACTGGTTACTCAGAAGTCCAAACAACACAGTTCTCTTAAAGTGATCCAGCCTCAGGCCTCCATCCAGGTACCCACATCAAATATGATGAAAATTTCTGTAAATCTTATTTCATCATATAAAAGAAAAGTTTCTACCAGTCCCAAAGGATTGGACACATTACCTCCCAGGTTAATGAATGTTTGAGATCTTACCCAAATACATGCAACAGGCAATTCTTATTAACTAAACTAAAATGTATTAAAACACAAAAGAGAGAGTATGGTTAAAATATCAATACACATACAGACATGAGTTCAATTTATTAAGGTTCAGATTCATAGCAGAGATGGTGAGCTTCGAAGTTGCAAAGAGTTCCTTTAGAATTCAGTTCATAGGTCATAGTCCAATGTCCAAATCTCATATTCAGAGTGTACCAGCATAACTGGGACCTCAGTCTTGCGACTCAAACTTCCCCTGATGAAATCTAAGCAGATCTGAGATGACAGAATCAGGACCCAAGGATCTTTTATACAATTTCATGTCTTCTGACAAGTTGGAATTCCTTGGGGAACAAAAGGTAGTTAATGGGATGACCTTGAAGGAGGTCCATCACCAGAACTTAGCTATACAAATTAACATAAGGTCATTTGCTTGTTCCTCTACCATTCACAGTACATTTCAAAGAGAGATGAATACTGAGATATCCCGTGTTTACAATTTATTTACATGATAGGATGTTCTTTTGACCTCTGAATTATTAGAATACAGCATAGGCAGGGACAGTTGATTACATTGTCCACCTTACTCATACATATGTAAATACACAAAAACACTAACATTATCTCCCCACGTGTCTTTTGTGGGTTACTTATTTTGCAGGATGTTTAACCCTTTCTAGCCGTGCGTCACAACCATATTAATTCCAAAGCTGAGTGGAAGCCTTTCCTCCTGAGGGTACAAAGCTGAATAAACTCCTTGGGTAGGAACTCTGGTCTCCAAAGTGTTTTTTCCCCCGCAGGCAAGGAATGATTCACATATGGTGGATAAGGATGTTAGTTTAATTACAGGGTCCAGATCATTATACATAATAATGAATATCTGTGAAACCAGAAAAAACTAGGGGGAAATTGCATGGCAGTCGCCCATCTGGTCTGCAAAAAGCAAAGCCCTTCCACAAGTCCCCTCCACTGACTTCTATCAAAATTATAATTAAAATGCCATTTGTAATTTACATTCATTTCTATGAATGAAATATAATTTGTGTAATTGTTTTATTATCTGGGATTTGTTTTATTAACAGAAAAATACGTATCTTCCAAGCATGGCTTATATAAAGTTTATTTAAACACAAAATCTACAGCATTTTCATGCAACAATCAGTATGTTACACTTAGGTTTTTATTAATATTCCCCGCATTTTTTCTCTGCTGATTAGGGTAATAAAATGCTGCAGAAGGCATTCAGATCCATCTAACTGACACATTAGTATTCTGTTAGTTATTCAAAATATTTAATCAGGCTGAGAGCCCACCGAGAATATCATTCTTGTACTCAGGGATGTGGAATAAAGCCATCACAACATTGTTACGTTAAAAACCTGTGAAATGTAATGAAACTGCAAGGCACTTTACTCACAGTTTTTCAGACCACTTCACTAGAGCTTGTGTAACTATTGTCACTGTATGTCAGATGCCTCATAAAAACAAATTGTTTCAAAAACCCTTTACACCTTCTTTGTGCTTTGAAAAGAGGAACCTGGCTTATGCTACCATGACTCAGATACCACACTAATGCGAATTTTGGTTTCATAAGAACCATTAAAATTCCAGATTGCATTAGGGTTATGGAGTAGCAGCCGTGTTAGTCTGTATTCGCAAAAAGAAAAGGAGGACTTGTAGCACCTTTAGAGACTAACAAATTTAGTTAAGCATAAGCTTCCGTGAGCTACACGAAAGCTTATGTTCAAATAAATTTGTTAGTCTCTAAGGTGCCACAAGTCTTCCTTTTCTTATTAGGGTTATAGGTTTGTCTTGCGGGAAAAAGTCAAGAATTAAGAAGACTCATCTCAGACTGTTCTAGACCAATAAAACTGGGATGTGTCTTAATTAAATAGTAAGAAATAATAAGCCATATTCATTGCATAAGAATAGTATGTACAAAGTCAAAGATAGTTTACCATCACTCATCTGGTAGACCTTTTACTGAACAACAATGTACATGATGCAATATATTACTGTGGTTGTAAAGTGACTTTTTTAAGGCATTTGACTTAGTGGTGCATGACATTCTCATTACAAATTTAGTCCTAAAAATATCAATGAAACACACATTAAATGGATTAAGAGCTGGGTAACTGACAGATTTCAAAAAGTAGTTGTCAATGGGAAATCACTGAATGCTAGTGTTTCTGCAGGGATCAGTTCTAGGTCTGATACTATTCCACATTTTATCAGTGATCTGAAAATAAATATAAAATCCCTGCTGGTAAAATGTGCAGATGATGCAAAGACTAGCAAAGTGGAAACTAATGACGAAGATAAGGCAGTCATATGAAGTGTGGTAAACTGGACCCGTTCAAACAAAATATGTTTTAATATAACAGAGTACAAGGTCATACCAACAGGAACAGAGAAGGCAGGCCAGACCTACATGCTGGAAAGCAGCGACCCTGAAAAGGATTATGGGGTCAGAGTGGACAAACAACTCTATATTATATATTATATGTAGCCCGCATATATTAGTCAACACATCATACCTGCTGTAGTCAGCTACTTTTAGTCTCTCACATGTGACAATATGATTCAGTCTCATTTTTGCTGGTAACACATGGCCATCTTCTCCCTTATGCTGAGTATCCCATCACTGGCCTATCATGTGATGTTTAACACTCCCATCTACTCTTGCTACTCAGAGAGGTAACAATTTTTGAAAGGGTCTCCAAGCAAAAAGTTGAAGTGAGGCCCCCATGTCATTTCTTCTCACCCCCTGCCACTCTGTCTCTTTCCACTATTCTTCCTGGATGTGTACACCACATGCATGCTTTCAGATTCCACTCACACCCCAAACCTGCACACCAATCCCACATCATCACTATAAGCAGTAACACACAACCCTACACCATTAGCATCCACACCAACCTCCATATGTAATCAATAGAGTTAGCTGCACTTTCTTTATATTATACAAATTAGGGCCTGATCCTCCAATTAACTCCACATGAGGAGACACCTGCACACATGCAGAGAGTCAATTCTAGATCAGGGTTTAGCTGTGGTAGCCTTCAGCTGGACAAAATAAAGATGTCACTGTGCATGAATGAAGTCTCTACCCCATTTTTACTCTTCTAAAATATTCACGGTGGGGGGACCCGTGGGGGGGAAGGATGAGAATGTCCACAGCTTAGACTTTTGACATCCTGGGTGAACAGACCTATAAGGTCAAATTCAGTGCTGACTTATACCCCATGTACTCCCATTGATGTCATAACCGCTTATGTAATTAATGTAATTTATTATATACATTTGACATAATACATTTTGGCCCCAGAAGTCATCAAATGACTTGTATAGCAAACCTCATGTTGTTGTTGTTTTTACATTTAACTTTCTGGAAAGGAAACATTCTTTAGTCCCAGAAGGGGAGAGTTGTCATGGAAGAATGCAAAGTGAGGTGGATTTTATTTTGCACTGAACATAAATAAGGATGGTAAAACTGACAGTGGTGCTTTACCCATCTTTATTAGTAATTACAGGAAAACAGAGACTGCTTCTGAATAAAGTGGAAATGTCAGAGGGATTCACATTTAATGGAATAGTTGTAAATACTTGCAAGATAAAATGATGAGTCAGGCTCTTAGATTTCTTTTAATTAAACTTATCTTATGCTAATTTGTTTCATGAGTCCAAAAACCTGCTGTTGAACTAGTCTTCAGTGCAGTGTAAAAAACCAGCAATACCTGATTGTAAGTTTCTTGCCATTATTAATTAAATTGGTATTCACCATAATGACACCGCCTAGGGGAAAATTTCATTTTAATAAACATGACATAGGTACCGCTCCATGATTTTCTTTGCAATTTAGCAACAGCTAATTTACCAGGGAAATAAAGAGTTAGAAAGGTTTCTAATTAAAAAGAACTTGTTTATATTTCTGGGGTCTAGGGTAGACACTAAAACAAATATTTTTTAAAACAAATCATGGGATATTTCATTTAAAACAGACATTGAGGCTTGGCTTCCATAACGGCTATGAAATCACTTGTGGTTAGTGGTTACCTTATTTTCCAGGGTGTTTTCTTCTTAATTGTGAAGAAATATGATATTGGTGAAAGGAGCCAAATTGATAGCCCTGAATATTGAGATCTCCTTCTGATTATCTACGGGACAGTTACAGCACAGACATTGGCTGGGAAAACTTCTGCACATGGTCCTGCCAATGTAACTCTACCTTGACCTACAGTCAGGAATGAGAAGACAGATTAATCCCAATGCCCATTCATACTCTTAGTGACATGGAAATTCACACTAAGATCTTGGAAAGAGTTTTTCACCAAGTTTTTCAATATTTTTAGATTCTGGTCCTTCAGTAGCTATCACATACTTAGGCACCAACTTCTGCTGGCGCTGGTGGGTGCTCGCCCCCCCTTTCCCCCAGCTGCGCCCCGACTCCACCCCTGCCCCACCTCCTCCCATCCCTGCCCAGCCCCCATTCCAACCCCTTCTCCAAATCCCCGTCTCTTCCCTGCCTCCTCCCCTGAGTGCGCCACATTCCTGCTCCTCCCCACTCCCTTCCAGAGCTTGTTATGCTGCAAAACAGCTGTTTCACGGCGGCAAGCACTGGGAGGAAGAGCGAGGACGTGACACACTCAGGGGAGGAGGCAGAGGTGCGGTGAGCTGGGGTGGGGTGGTGGGGTGGGGAGCTTGGCTGCTGGTGGGTGTAGAGCACCCACCAATTTTTCCCCGTGGGTGCGCCAGCCCCGGTGCCTATGACCACATAAGTAATAAAGCCCAGATTGTAACCCTTCCTGTGTGTCTGTACAGGTTAATTAGAGGGTGTAAGGAGACCCCTTCTTCTCTGGGCTTCCTACCTATATTCATGGGTTGCAGCTCTGAAAGAGTAAAAGGCAGGTACTCCAGCACAATCACACTTTCCACGTGCATCGCTATTTCAACGACAAAGCAACAAAAGCAGGGCTGATCAAAACTGCATTTTATACAAAAATTTTCCACAAAGCAAAATGCACTGCAAGAGTGTGGAAAATTTCAATGTTTCCTTACAATGCCGAAAACCAAAATATTTCAATTCAAAATGGTTCAGCTCTGCCTCAGGGGAGTTGTAGTCTTGGTGCCTTTTGCTCCTGTTCTCCTCTAAAAGATGGACTCACTGGGAGACAGCCACACTCCACAATGCATCACTTTCTGTCCTCTCTGGAGGGGTGGGAAGAGGATGCATCACAAGAGTACCAGGCCAACATGCATCATGGGAGATGTAGTCTGGCCAGAGATCTCAGTCCCTAGTGGAGAATGGGAGCATAGGGCACCCAGGACTATAACTCCTATGAACACTGCAGTGACATTTTAAATTGAATTATTTCAGGTTTTAGTCAAAATATTTTGTAGAAAACTTGAAAATTTTGTGGAAATATATCCTATTTTCTCAGCAGTTCTAAATGCAAACCCATTCTTTCCTTCTCATAGCTCCTGAACACTAAATAATAGGGGTACATTATAGGAGTCCCGAGCCATGGTGCATCTTGGGCGATGTAATCTATCCACAGATTTTAGGTTTTGTGCTTGTCTACTCTGAACGTCTCTTTTGAAAGGCCCATGTAATGTGACTGTTTTATGTTTAGTGAACTGCAAAGTAAATAGTTGTCTTAGACTAGGAAATAAGTTATCAGCATTTAGGCAAAATAGCTATTTGACCATCCATCTGCACTAGTAAATTAATTGCAGTGAATACATTTTATTTAAATCAAGAGTCAAAATCTGTCTGAGTCTGTGCTGATATGGAAGGCAGAGGGAGGTAGTGAAAGGAGAATCCTTCATCCCTCTGAAGTCAGAAGAAATTTTTTCCAAATAAGGGCTCCGGGACTCAGCCCTTAATTTGTATAATTTTGCTTAAGGAGTACAGGGAGGGCAGAAATGTCTACAGATATATTAGTGCAAAAACCATGGAAGCCAATAAAGTGTTTAGTGTTATTCTTCTAACCAGCCATCAATTTCCAAGAAATACCTCAATCAATATTAATCTTAATAGCCTGGGCCTTTTTCCACCACTTAATAAAAAAGACCAGATCGCATATGCAACCTAAGTTCTTAGACACCACGGAATGTCGTTAGACATGTAAAGTCAGCCTGTTTATTCAGTCTACATATGTTATGCTGACAAAACCACACAGGATCATTTCAGGGGACAAGACAAGATGTCACGTTTATTATAACACAATTTGATCTATAACCACTAGCTAATACCTAATACTTATACACACACACACACACACACACACACACACACACCCAAATGTTCTGCAGCTGCTGTATAGTTACCTGTCCTGAATGTAGCTTGAGTTCGTGGCTTGGGTTTGTAGCTTGTGGCGGCTAACTGGCCAGGAAAGCCGGGCACAAGGAAGAGCTGGGTCTCTGTTGGGCATGCACCGATGCCCTTCCATGTTGGCAGCAGAATGTTACCCTCCAAAGTCTTCCATCTCATCCATCCTTTTTGTAGGCTTTCGTTTGAATCCAGAGTCTATAGGACTTGCTGTGTCACGCTGCCTCTGGGTTCAATGTGATTGATCATCTGTCAATTGCAGACATGACTTTCAGCCTGGGACCTGGCTTTGATGTTCCTTCAGTTGTACCTTTGTTCTTTTCTTTTCTGGGTGGACTCTTCTTGCTTTGTCAGGGTTGTTGTCTGCATCTTCAGATGTTGGTGTTTACACTTTATTTCATTAGGACGGGTTGAGGCTGGAGGTTGATTCCATCATCCATCCATACCTCATTCAAACATCTAAACTAAAGGAATAAGGTTTTTGCAAAATGAAGGTTGCAGCAGGCTTTTACAAAATGGATTGAGCTTTTTAAAATGAGTTTAAGTTACAATATGGACAAGTATAATGAATGGCAAACAGTGAGCAGAAGTTACAATGTTGAAATAGTGCAAGTTTCAGTGATCTAAGCAGCAATTGGATTGAAAGTGAAACTTACAAGGGCATTCATAAAACTTTACTTATGAACAATTTCATTTATCAGTTCTACACATATTTCAGTGTTTAATATTATTTAATACTATGTTTAAGTATAGGATGCATAGTCTACTAAATACCATTAAACATGAGACATTAATGATATTAAAGGCATGATTTTAAAAATATATTTAAGGCATGCAAGAGGAGGTATTAGTAAGTTAAAGGTATAACACTAAATTCCCCACTGGTATAAATGCCAGCAGAAGTGTGTTCACAGGCTTATGTCAGTATGAAAGGTGACAGAGTGCCTCCAGGCCCGCAACTGTACTCCAAAACAAGGGCTGGCCAGTGGAAATAGGCTGTATTGTCTCCCGATGGCGACTTTACAGTGCAGCTCCTGTGGAAAATAAAGCTGCACTCCAGCCTCAGTGTAAATTGAGGGAGGAGCACTGCCTGCACTCTAATGGAGACATCTCTCCTTTGGCACAGTTAGGCTGACCAGATGTCCCAATATTAGGAGCTTTGTCTTATACAGGCAATTATATACCTCTCTGAAAGACAAGTGTCCTGATTTTTCACACTTGCTATCTGGTCACCCTAGATGCAGTGGGCTTTCTAAGCTCATGGGATACCCTGGGAGTGTATTTTACAGCTCCCCGTACCCGCCTTACTGAACTTGGTTTGTAGATTAGAATCATGTAATTTAACAAGACATAAATCACTTTTATTACCACAAGAGGGCACCTCCTGTCACTTAATAATTGTACTAAGGAAACGACTTGTGTCAGTCCCTCAAAAGGGAGTACAGTCTTCCAAAATACAAAGCAGATATAAACACGAGCAAAACAACAAAACAAGGGGTCTCTGAAACCCCTTTACTTGAGTCATGAATGGGACCCAGTTATCATGTCAACAGACTTGATATATATAGTAACTTTGATATCAGTATGTGCAGTATGAGCTCTGCAGCAGTATGATCTTGGCATGGGGAGAGCTCCCTGTAGGTCTCACTTCTTTCCCCACCAATTCCTTAAAATCTCTCTATAGCATCTCCGAAGCTGCTGTGTACCTCAAAAATATAACCAGCTCATGTTAACTTTTAGAAGTGCAACTCTTGGAAGTCACAGTTTCAGGGTTGACTGCACCTTTGACAGCCCCCAGGCTCCAGTGTTCTTTGAGGACATCAACTTAAAGGTTTTAGGCTTCCTAGTAATCCCCTCTCTTGGGTAAAAACTAATGTCTCCTTACCTCCAGGCTGGGGGGTTAGGTTTGCAGTCTCTCTGCAGCTCACTGTGACATCATTTCCCCAGTCTGTCCAGCAGCTGTGGTTAAGTTTTCTCCAGGGACTACAACAGTGTATACCAGTTACCAACCAGTCTTCACAAAGCAAAATACATTTATTGTTAGGACAAAAGCATTAAAGAGAAAATGTACAAAAAATACAATAAAAGTTCCTATATACATGTTAAAAGGTTACCAGAGGTCACCCATCAGCCTTATGGGGCCGAGGTAGGCCAAGGTCCTTCCAACTTTTCTGCAAAGATTGTTGAGGCCCTCTGTGGACAAAATGTCCTTTCCATTTTCTGAATCATAAAGAAGGTGTGGTGTCAGTTTAAACACAGCTTTTTTATACCAAAAGCCCTTTCTTTGTCTGTTGGTCTGTGAACACCCAGCTTGACCGTGTACATGCAAACCACACCAGAGGGAGATAACTCTCTAGAGTTGTTTACAGTTTCAGCAACTATCCTTAATCACCCCCACTATTTTTAGGTCCTGGAGGAGCAGTGGTAATCCTCCCCCGCTGCAGTTGCATACAGTCCCTGGCCCACTGTGATACATTAAACCATTCATAAACTTAATACAATATGGTCCCCCAAAGATACTGCATATGGTTCTAGTATCTGTCAGAGTGACATCAAAGTGAGAGAAAAATACTTCACTTAAATATTTTATGCATTCTTCCTGTTTGGAAATATATCTGGTATTTAAATACCATGGTGTTGGGTGCAGTAGAAATAGAAAGACAGAGCCAAGTGCTGTCCCAGCAGTGACATAAATAAAGTTATTAGAGAGACAAGATGGGTGAGGTAATATCTTTTATTGAACCAACTTCTGTTGCTGAGAGAGGCAAGCTTTCAAGCTCACACAGACCTCTTTTTCAGCCCAGACCTCGAAAGCTTCTCTGTTTCACCAACAGAAGTTGGTCTAATAATAGATGTTACCTCACCCACCTTGTCTCTCTAATATCCGGGGGACAACCCAGCTACAACACTGCCTAAAGAAAGATAGGTAACTAGCTCAGCTCTTTGCTAGCACAGCTGGTATTATGCATGGAACGTTGTAAAGGTACTTCCTGTAGAAAGCCTTAGATTGTTGATTTGATTCTAGCTTGAAGGAGAATTGAGTTTTTTTTGCATTCAGGTCCTGGTATCGGATACAATAACAGGAACAATATAAGAACCTGAACAGAATAGTTAGAAACATATAGAAAATTACATGTGCATGAATCTTCCACTGAGAGGCCTGGGGAAGTTTCTAGCTAATTCTACAGTGAAGCAGAGAGAAAATTTAGGAATAAAACTGTGTTCGTTATTCCTTCTTCAGTATAAGAAGACAGTGGTTCTTTCTGTAATTCAGCCTGTGATCATGAGTAGATGACAAAGTTGTAAAAAAGCCCGAGCCCTGTCTATGCTATCATTGTGGTCAATGGTATTTCTGCAGAATTTCTCAGTGGTGTAAATGAGATCAGAATCTGGCCCAGTGCACGCATGTTGAGCTGTAAACATGTGGACACCCCAGTTACCCTATTACCACCTCTATCATATACTAGAAAGGTTAGTGTTTACATTTTTATGAATGTACCATCTTCTATCTAGACATAGTAACATGGTATTCAGTACTTGCACTTATCTAATTTCATTTGGTATTGACATCAGACACTGTCTCCAGACTTACACTGCATTTCCCATGAGATCATAGTAACAGTGTTAAGTCCATTTCAAGGGAATAAGGAAAGTGTAACACTGTGTAAAAGCTTATATGAAGAGAAATAGCTGAAGCATAGGTTTAGTAGCTACTTGACAGCAATCTGGAGCTTCAGAAGTTTCAAAAATTGTTGGGGTTTTTATTAAAAGCATCAAATTAGGTCAGTCCACTTTAAAGACCAACCCCCTGCAATTTCATTATTTTAAAAACAAAGGGCCCAATTCACAATTGCTCTACACCTTTAGCCATTTACATCAGAGCAAGGTGGATGTAAAATGCTACCAGATCCAAACAGTAGCATTTTACACCCAGTCTGCACCAGTGTAAAAGATTGCATCCGAGAGTGCTAAAGGAACTGGCGGCTGTGATTGCAGAGCCATTGGCCATTATCTTTGAAAACTCGTGGCGAATGGGGGAAGTCCTGGATGACTGGAAAAAGGCTAATGTAGTGCCAATCTTTAAAAAAGGGAAGAAGGAGGATCCTGGGAACTACAGGCCAGTCAGCCTCACTTCAGTCCCCGGAAAAATCATGGAGCAGGTCCTCAAAGAATCAATCCTGAAGCACTTGCATGAGAGGAAAGTGATCAGGAACAGCCAGCATGGATTCACCAAGGGAAGGTCATGCCTGACTAATCTAATCGCCTTCTATGATGAGATTACTGGTTCTGTGGATGAAGGGAAAGCAGTGGATGTATTGTTTCTTGACTTTAGCAAAGCTTTTGACACGGTCTCCCACAGTATTCTTGTCAGCAAGTTAAAGAAGTATAGGCTGGATGAATGCACTATAAGGTGGGTAGAAAGTTGGCTAGATTGTCGGGCTCAACGGCAAAGCTTTGGCAAATCAATGGCTCCATGTCTAGTTGGCAGCCGGTGTCAAGTGGAGTGCCCCAGGGCTCGGTCCTGGGGCCGGTTTTGTTCAATATCTTCATAAATGATCTGGAGGATGGTGTGGATTGCACTCTCAGCAAATTTGCGGATGATACTAAACTGGGAGGAGTGGTAGATACGCTGGAGGGCAGGGATAGGATACAGAAGGACCTAGACAAATTGGAGATTTGGGCCAAAAGAAATCTGATGAGGTTCAATAAGGATAAGTGCAGGGTCCTGCACTTAGGACGGAAGAACCCAATGCACAGCTACAGACTAGGGACCGAATGGCTAGGCAGCAGTTCTGCGGAAAAGGACCTAGGGGTGACAGTGGACGAGAAGCTGGATATGAGTCAACAGTGTGCCCTTGTTGCCAAGAAGGCCAGTGGCATTTTGGGATGTATAAGTAGGGGCATAGCGAGCAGATCGAGGGACGTGATCGTCCCCCTCTATTCGACATTGGTGAGGCCTCATCTGGAGTACTGTGTCCAGTTTTGGGCCCCACACTACAAGAAGGATGTGGATAAATTGGAAAGAGTCCAGCGAAGGGCAACAAAAATGATTAGGGGTCTGGAACACATGACTTATGAGGAGAGGCTGAGGGAACTGGGATTGTTTAGTCTGCAGAAGAGAAGAATGAGGGGGGATTTGATAGCTGCTTTCAACTACCTGAGAGGTGGTTCCAGAGAGGATGGTTCTAGACTATTCTCAGTGGTGGAAGAGGACAGGACAAGGAGTAATGGTCTCAAGTTGCAGTGGGGGAGGTTTAGGTTGGATATCAGGAAAAACTTTTTCACTAAGAGGGTGGTGAAACACTGGAATGCGTTAACTAGGGAGGTGGTGGAATCTCCTTCCTTAGAAGTTTTTAAGGTCAGGCTTGACAAAGCCCTGGCTGGGATGATTTAATTGGGGATTGGTCCTGCTTTTGAGCAGGGGGTTGGACTAGATGACCTCCTGAGGTCCCTTCCAACCCTGATATTCTATGATTCTATGATTGCATATGGTATAGGCAATGGTGAATCAGGTCCAAAGATTGCTTTTGCCTGGAGCTTGGCAAAAGGACATTTGAAACTGACTCTGTTCAAAACCACTGTTGCTTTCCAATTCTGTACTTCAGAAGGATGCTCCCATTCTATTGGAGCGCCTGAATTTCTTTTACTTTACCATTGTTAAGGTTTCTGAAAACCTAGCTGCTGTATATAATACCTTGAGGTATCTATTGATCCATGAGATCATCCCAAAGTATTTCCCTTCCTTTAAGGAAGGTAATTTTGAGGGAATAAACGAGTTGATATATTTGCTTTAAAACTGACATATTAAAATCATTTTTGGAAAGAAGAATAAGCATCTGTGTTTTTAGCATGTATCAATTTTCTGCCTAGAGGGTTTTGTAACTGACAAGGTAGAATCATAGAATATCAGGGTTGGAAGGCACCTTAGGAGGTCATCTAGTCCAACCCACTGCTCAAATAAAATATAAAACATAGACTCAGCCTTAACTACAGCAGTCTCATGTTAAGGGAAGACTTCTTTTTTCTCTCACATTAGAGCGATACTTAAGAGCCTCACAAAACTTCCTCTGACTTCAGTGGAAGCAAGACTGGGCTTGTAATCGCTACAGTTAAAGAAAAATTATGCCCCTTTTCCTCAGATGGAAAGTCAAAAAGTTTGAGAGGTAAGAAGCCCATGTCATTATGAATTAACCGTAAGGTGTATTTTAAGAGTGACATCCTGGCCCTATTTAATACATTGTGGCTTTTGCCACTGACTGCAATGGGACCAGCATTTTACCCTAAAGGTAAAATAACTCCAAGTGTTACAAATGTCAATACAGCCATGTGAATGAGCTCTACTGAGGAAAGGATGTTTATTTAATATTTATCCCTATTTAGGATAATATTTATTATTTTTCTTTCAAAAACTCTCCTATTCACCTTACTGCCCTCTTTCAAATTGGTCATAGACACCTTCCTCTTTCTGTCATCTTTGCACCATTAGCCATTATCAGTTGCTGTAGAGCCTTACACTGGCATCCTCACATTTAGCTCCCGCTACAGTAAAGCTGTAACTAACAAGACTCAGGCCAGACCTTCTCCTCAGAACAAAAATGCATCAACTAAAATATTTTGTAAATATTTATAGCAAACGCTCTTTTCCTTTTCTTTCTTTCATGTTTAAGAAAATTGGCTCTGAAATATCATCCTGACAAGAATCCCGACAATCCAGAGGCTGCTGAAACATTTAAAGAGATCAACAATGCTCAGGCGATACTGACTGACCAGTCCAAGAGAAACATATACGATAAGTATGGATCATTAGGGCTATATGTGGCGGAACAATTTGGAGAAGAAAATGTTAATGCATACTTCATGCTTTCAAGCTGGTGGGCAAAGGTGAGTGGGTAAAATAAAATGCTCTGTTCTTTTTTTAAAAATGTACTGAGCAAGCTAGGAAACCATGCAGTCTTCTAACCTAGTTTGGTCCTGGTCCTGCAAAGTGTTCCATGTGACTGGATCTTTACACTCACCTACACCCCTAGGGCTCTGCATGGGACTAGGGGTTCCCCGATGCAGAACAATTTTGAGGATCAGGGCCTTAAATCATAGCAGCTTAATTAAATGATGGCATGTCTTGAATGATTAGAAACTGGCAAAAATATAATTAAGCACCTCTCCAGCAAAGTGCTAATGAAGGATTTTTCCTTTTTCCTTTAATTTACTAAATAATTAAATACACTTCACGTCTGGTAACACTTAGAGGCATAAATTATATTTGAAACTGGAGCTCCAGGTTAATTTTGATTTTCTTTTCAGTAATGACTAAATAAAAATGACTCATTGCTCAAAAACGAGAAGTCCTACTTGTGTGACAACCAGCTAATAAGTTACCGTACAAATTTAGCCATGTTCTTTGCTATATGTAGCACACAGCATACGTAAGCAATAATAATACATAACACAGTGTGTGATTATGGTGTCATATACGTACACTTTGGGTACATTGTGAGGGGGCAGGGAAAAGGAAGTGGAAGAAGAGGTGAGAACTGCGGAGTGGAGGAAGAGAGCAGGAAAGGAAGAGCATGATACCTCAAGTCAGCAAATTGAATGAGGAAAAACCCCTGGTGAGGGTTCTGATGACATAAGAGCTCGGTTCATTTGGTTTATTATGTAACTGTAATCTTTTGATATTTATGTATATATTGCAAACCCTAGCATTGCAATCAGTGTGTCAGTGAATGTAACAAGCCTATGACATCACAAATGTGGAAAATCCCACACTTCAGATGTTATTCTTACTGCTATTTCCTGCAACAAAATGTTGGGGCAGCAAAGAGCCCATTGGAATAAATAGAAAAAATATCTTTATGTGAACCAAATACGCTGTGATGAGAAGAGAAATGACAGATCTGATTTAGGAACATGGACATCTCCATCCTGGAGCAGAACAGTGGCATCCATCTAGCTCAGTATCCTGTTTCCAACAGTGGTTAGTGCAAGGTCAGTTCCATGTGTCTGGGAAAGCATACTTTATACACTACTTCAGGTGGGAATAGAAGCAGCTCAAATACAAATTAATGGACAACTTTTTCAAAACTGGGCAACTTTTTCAAAATCATATTGGCAAAATTTGTATCCACGCCAGCAAAAACTGAAGATGGACCTGGACCACATCTCCACCTGAACTCCCAAGACTTTACAGTTGGCCCCTATTTCTCTGGCAGCAAATTTGCACAGGCTGTGGCTGCTGACTCCTACTGTGTCCTGGACTTCCTTCACTATTGATTGCTTCTACTACTACCACCTGCTGTGTCAATCTTCCTTCTCTTTGCTCTCAGCTACCCTCTTTCCAGCCTCCTTGTCTCCATCTCTGAGTGCAGGGAGTCATTGGCTAAGAAGGGAGAGAAGAAAAGAGACACTGATAAGTCCTCTAGCAGCAGCATCAGATGAGCCACTCCCTTGACTCAGGTTACATGAATATGCATGTGGAATGGATGTGGGTATGAGAATAGGAACAGAGACACCAACAGCAGCAGTAGCCGTGACCAACAAGAAGAGCAGAGGAGAGCATAGGGTGCAGCTGAGAAGTCCTGTAGCCTGTATGAGAGCAGGGAGAGCAATTGCTGGGTTTGTTTTGGGGTGCTATGTTCTGGAGGTATGGAAGGATTTGTTACGGAGCCTGTGTAAAATTCATTAAATTGCATATTGCAGAACTTCCTATGAAAAATGTACCACAAAAATCAGAGGTACTTACGTATCATCCCTCCCAGATTGTCACAGGGTGGTCTCTCCATCGCCACTAAACCAAACAAAGTTTTCCCATTTCCAGAGTATAAGCAGGTCAACAAAGGCTCCTCTAAAGTTGAGTCCAGCCATTTCCCCACATGCCTAGCCATACCTTTCCTCTTCCATCTCTTATACCCAATAAGCTAGGACCTGTAGTGAATGAGTCTATCTTGGGCCTTATACTGCCACTCATTGCCACAGTGTCCATCCCAGAAGATACTAAGTGATGGCACAAGTCATTAAATGTAATGAAATGAAAATTAAAGGTGAAGTGCAAAGCAAAAATGACTGTTGAGTTAAGCCCAGAATTCGCTGAAGGCTTAACCAAGCTGGGAAAGTGGGGCCATTTTACACAGAAAAAAGCTTTAACTAATATTTCATAATTCCCTTTTTTCCATTAAGGTACACAGTGATTGTGCCACTTTAACTACATCAAGTTGAAATCAGTATAGTTAAAGTGGTACAACTCCCTAGTGTAGATACAATTATAGTAGTATAAAGGTGCTTATACTGACATCTTATACCCATAAATTTAGGGAAATAATCTATACCATTTTAAAGAATGTTTATATGGGTATAACTGCATTCACACTTGGGAGTGTGTGTACCAATTTATCTATTTCAGTAAAAAGTCACACCCTAACCCAAACAGTTAAACCAGTACAAAATCTAGGTTTGCTGTGAGAGAAGGCACAGCATTTTGAAATAACTTCAACTCAGCATAAATCTGGCCAGTCTTTTGAAAACATCTGGAGGTATTTGTGGGTTTAACCTGATACAGGTATTACCATTGGCCTTGAGCCTCAACAGTTGCTCAGATGGTTAACTTTAAACATGTGAATCATTCCACTGACTTCAAATGGAGCATAATTGCACCCATGCTAACATTGCATCATTTAATTCACATAGTCACTTCCATACTATTAACCTGATACCTATCCTTACACATGTCACAATCCTGCGATGGATTTGGGGGTGGGGAGGGGGAGGGGATATTGTTGTATTATTAATGATTATTATTATCAAGCCATATATTTTATTTTGAATACATTAAACTATTGGTGAGAGCACTTTCCCTGAGTTAAGCTACATGTGTTAAATTATTCTCAACAGTGGCCTTTTAACTATAAGCTAAGGACTAAATTGAGCCTCCTTGATGAAAGCAGATTTGTGCCTGAAGTCCATAGGATCTGCACTGACCAAGGAGGCTTGATTCTCTTCTACATACACCTAAGTAACTTCACTTGATTTATCCCAGTATGTGTGAGAGGAAAATTAAATGTTTCATCTTAGCCACTCCTGCCTTTGGACTCCTTATTTTGTTTCTTTTTTCTCATATACTTGCTATTATCAACACTCTATCAGTGAATAAGAATTTACACAGAGATCTACTGTAATGAGCCATTTTTAAGGGAGCTGAGGGTTTTGCACTATGTTTGGAATTTCTGGAAGGCCTCACTCAGCACTCACAACTTGGGCTAGATTTGCAAGAGCCCAGCATATTGGGTGCATGTTGGATGCAGAACACTTGAAAATCTAGCCATAAATGTCATAATGACAAAGGGTGGGTGGGGTGGCAAGTGCTCTGAAAATCTGGCCCATATTTGGGTTTTTGAATGGCAGCTAAACTCTTGACAATCTGGCTCCAACTGTGGGTGTGGAGCACTTTACTCCTGGGGGAATTCTGCACCACTGAGTGTGTGCAGAATTCATGTCCCCCGCAGATTTCTTCGCTTCCCCACAGAAAAATGACTTTCTGACAGGGAAGCAAAGGGAAGCTGCCTGCGCCCAGATTGTCCCCACACTCAGCCCTTTCACACTTGGATCCTGCCTGGTTGAGCCTGACTGCCTGCCCCACATCTGGTGCACCTGGTGCAGAGGGGCAGGGCCCCAGGGTGTTTCTGGGGTAGGCCCAGACCTTGTGCTGTGTCAGGGTCAGGTGCAGCCTCACCACTGAGTCCGTGTCCCAGGGGTGGGGCTGGGGAGGCTGCAGGGTGATTTCCTACCTTCGTACAAGCAGTGGCCTGTGCTTCCCACTGCCATGTTGGAGCCTCTGCATTTATTTATTGACAAATAAAGCGTGCAGAATTTTAAAATATGGTGGGCAGAATGCCCTCAGGAGTAGCACATGCAAATCTGGCCCTGAGTTCTTTTGAAAATCTGACACTACATGCCTTATGTCTGTTAAAAACTGTCACTAATTAAAGGAAGTTCATGTGGTAATAGGGGTTTCTCCCCTGTTTAATCTAGGCCCTGTTTGCAGTTTGTGGCCTCTTGACAGGCTGCTACTTTTGCTGCTGCCTGTGCTGCTGTTTCAGTTACTGTTGTGGGCAGTGTAAACCCAAGCCACCCGGAGGGGAAGAACATGAGTTCTGCATGTCTCCTGAGGATTTGGAAGAGCAGATCAAGACAGACATGGAACAAGGTACGGATTGGAGGGACTTAATATAGAGTGACAATATACAAAACCGTTAAAGAAACTATTGATCAGGTCCTCTGCTGGTGTTAGCCGGTGTAGCTCCACTGATGTCAATGGAGATATGCTGATTTACAGCTGCAGAGTATCTGGTCCTACAAATCTTCTATACGGCAACTAAGCCAGAAGCACAGTACGGTAGAACCTCAGACTTATGAACGCCAGAGTTAAGAACTGATCGGTCAACCACACATTTCATTGGGAACCAGAAATATGCAATCAGGAAGCTGCAGAGACAACAAAACAAATGCAGTACAGTACTGTGTCAAAAGTAAACTACTAAAAAAAAGGGAAAGTTTAAAAAAAGATTTGACAAGGTAAAGAAACTGTTTCTGTGCTTGTTTCATTTAAATTAAGATGGTCAAAAGCAGCATTTTTCTTCTGCATAGTGAAGCTTCAAAGCTGTATTAAATCAATACTGAATTGTACGCTTTTGAAAGAACAGCCATAACAGTTTGTTCAGAGTTATGAACATTTCAGAGTTACGAACAACCTCCATTCCCAAGGTGTTCATAACTCTGAGTTTCTACTGTATATTACATAGAGAAATGACAGTTTCTTTGTATCTATTATTGTCTTGATTATGCAGAAGTGTTGTAGAAGTATCAGTCCCAGCATATTGCAGACACAAGGTGGGTGAGGTCATAAATTTGATTGGACCCGCTTCTGTTAGTGAGAGAGACAAGCTTCTAAGCTTACATAGAGCTCTTCTTCAGAATGGATTTGATTAAACACATGGACATTAAAGATCCCATGACACTTTGTGTAGGAGAGGAGATTTGCTATATTGTGAATGGCCTATATATCCTAGTCATTCTTATGTCATGTGCTGTGCCTGACCTGCTTCCTTCCCCCACAGAGCTATCTGAACGCCAGTGGGCTTGATTGTGTAACCTTTATTTATACAAACAGTCTTGGGGTATGTCTACACTACGGAATAAGGTCGAATTTATAGAAGTCGGTTTTTTAGAAATCGGTTTTATAAATTCGAGTGTGTGTGTCCCCACAGAAAATGCTCTAAGTGCATTAAGTGCATTAACTCGGCGGAGCGCTTCCACAGTACCGAGGCAAGCGTCGACTTCCGGAGCGTTGCACTGTGGGTAGCTATCCCACAGTTCCCGCAGTCTCCGCTGCCCATTGGAATTCTGGGTTGAGATCCCAATGCCTGATGGGGCTAAAACATTGTCGCGGGTGGTTCTGGGTACATATCGTCAGCCTCCCGTTCCCTCCCTCCCCCCGTGAAAGCAAGGGCAGACAATCATTTCGCGCCTTTTTTTCCTGAGTTACCTGTGCAGACGCCATACCACAGCAAGCATGGAGCCCGCTCAGGTAACCGTCACCCTATGTCTCCTGGGTGCTGGCAGACGCGGTACGGCTTTGCTGCACAGTAGCAGTAACCCCTTGCCTTCTGGCAGCAGACGGTGCAATACGACTGGTAGTCGTCCTCATCGTGTCCGAGGTGCTCCTGGCCGCGTCGGCTGGGAGCGCCTGGGCAGACATGGGCGCAGGGACTACATTTGGAGTGACTTGACCAGGTCATTCTCTTTAGTCCTGCAGTCAGTCCTATTGAACCGTCTTATGGTGAGCAGGCAGGCGATACGGACTGCTAGCAGTCGTACTGTACCATCTTCTGCCAGGCAGGCAAGAGATGAGGATTGCTAGCAGTCGTATTGCACCATCTTCTGCCAGGCAGGCAAGAGATGGGGATGGCTAGCAGGCGTACTGTACCATCTTCTGCCGAGCAGCCATGAGATGTGGATGGCATGCAGTCCTTCTGCACCGTCTGCTGCCAGCCAAAGATGTAAAAGATAGATGGAGTGGGTCAAAACAAGAAATAGACCAGATTTGTTTTGTACTCATTTGCCTCCTCCCCTGTCTAGGGGACTCATTCCTCTAGGTCACACTGCAGTCACTCACAGAGAAGGTGCAGCGAGGTAAATCTAGCCATGTATCAATCAGAGGCCAGGCTAACCTCCTTGTTCCAATAACAACGATAACTTAGGTGCACCATTTCTTATTGGAACCCTCCGTGCAGTCCTGCCTGAAATACTCCTTGATGTACAGGCACCCCCTTTGTTGATTTTAGCTCCCTGAAGCCAACCCTGTAAGCCGTGTCGTCAGTCGCCCCTCCCTCCGTCAGAGCAACGGCAGACAATCGTTCCGCGCCTTTTTTTCTGTGCGGACGCCATACCACGGCAAGCATGGAGCCCGCTCAGCTCACTTTGGCAATTAGGAGCACATTAACCACCACACGCATTATTCAGCAGTATATGCAGCACCAGAACATGGCAACGCGATACCGGGCGAGGAGGCGACGTCAGCGCGGTCCCGTGAGTGATCAGGACATGGACACAGATTTCTCTGAAAGCATGGGCCCTGACAATGCATGCATCATGGTGCTAATGGGGCAGGTTCATGCTGTGGAACGCCGATTCTGGGCTCGGGAAACAAGCACAGACTGGTGGGACCGCATAGTGTTGCAGGTCTGGGACGATTCCCAGTGGCTACGAAACTTTCGCATGCGTAAGGGCACTTTCATGGAACTTTGTGACTTGCTTTCCCCTGTCCTGAAGCGCATGAATACCAAGATGAGAGCAGCCCTCACAGTTGAGAAGCGAGTGGCGATAGCCCTGTGGAAGCTTGCAACGCCAGACAGCTACCGGTCAGTTGGGAATCAATTTGGAGTGGGCAAATCTACTGTGGGGGCTGCTGTGATGCAAGTAGCCCACGCAATCAAAGATCTGCTGATATCAAGGGTAGTGACCCTGGGAAATGTGCAGGTCATAGTGGATGGCTTTGCTGCAATGGGATTCCCTAACTGTGGTGGGGCTATAGATGGAACCCATATCCCTATCTTGGCACCGGAGCACCAAGCCGCCGAGTACATAAACCGCAAGGGGTACTTTTCGATAGTGCTGCAAGCTCTGGTGGATCACAAGGGACGTTTCACCAACATCAACGTGGGATGGCCGGGAAAGGTGCATGATGCTCGCATCTTCAGGAACTCTGGTCTGTTTCAAAAGCTGCAGGAAGGGACTTTATTCCCAGACCAGAAAATAACTGTTGGGGATGTTGAAATGCCTATATGTATCCTTGGGGACCCAGCCTACCCCTTAATGCCATGGCTCATGAAGCCGTACACAGGCAGCCTGGACAGTGGTCAGGAGCTGTTCAACTACAGGCTGAGCAAGTGCAGAATGGTGGTAGAATGTGCATTTGGACGTTTAAAGGCGCGCTGGCGCAGTTTATTGACTCGCTTAGACCTCAGCGAAACCAATATTCCCACTGTTATTACTGCTTGCTGTATGCTCCACAATATCTGTGAGAGTAAGGGGGAGACGTTTATGGCGGGGTGGGAGGTTGAGGCAAATCGCCTGGCTGCTGGTTACGCGCAGCCAGACACCAGGGCGGTTAGAAGAGCACAGGAGGGCGCGGTACGCATCAGAGAAGCTTTGAAAAACAGTTTCATGACTGGCCAGGCTACAGTGTGAAAGTTCTGTTTGTTTCTCCTTGATGAACCCCCCCGCCCCTTGGTTCACTCTACTTCCCTGTAAGCTAACCACCCTCCCCTCCTCCCTTTAATCATTGCTTGCAGAGCCAATAAAGTCATTGCTGCTTCACAGTCATGCATTCGTTATTCATTCATCACACAAATAGGGGGATGACTACCAAGGTATCCCAGGAGGGGTGGTGGAGGAGGGAAGGAAAATGCCACACAGCACTTTAAGCACAGCACTTTAAAAGTTTACAACTTTAAAATTTATTGAATGACAGCCTTCTTTTTTTTGGGCAATCCTCTGTGGGGGAGTGGCTGGTTGGCCGGAGGCCTCCCCACCGTGTTCTTGGGCGTCTGGGTGTGGAGGCTATGGAACTTGGGGAGGAGGGCGGTTGGTTACAGAGGGGCTGCAGTGGCAGTCTGTGCTCCAGCTGCCTTTGCTGCAGCTCAACCATACACTGGAGCATACTGGTTTGGTCCTGCAGCAGCCTCAGCATTGAATCCTGCCTCCTCTCATCACGCTGCCGCCACCTTTGAGCTTCAGCCCTGTCTTCAGCCCGCCACTTACTCTCTTCAGCCCGCCACTTACTCTCTTCAGCCCTCCACCTCTCCTCCCGGTCATTTTGTGCTTTCCTGCACTCTGACATTATTTGCCTCCACGCATTCGTCTGTGCTCTGTCAGTGTGGGAGGACAGCATGAGCTCGGAGAACATTTCATCGCGAGTGCGTTTTTTTTTCTTTCTAAGCTTCACTAGCCTCTGGGAAGGAGAAGATCCTGTGATCATTGAAACACATGCAGCTGGTGGAGAAAAAAAAAGGGACAGCGGTATTTAAAAAGACACATTTTATAAAACAGTGGCTACACTCTTTCAGGGTAAACCTTGAAAGTTAACATTACATACATAGCACATGTGCTTTCGTTACAAGGTCGCATTTTGCCTCCTCCCACCGCGTGAACGGATTTTGGTTGAATGCCAGCAAACATACACTGCAATGCTTTGTTCTACAGTGATTCCCCAGTACGTGTTGCTGGCCTGGAGTGGTAAAGTGTCCTACCATGAAGGACGAAATAAGGCTGCCCTCCCCAGAAACCTTTTGCAAAGGCAGAACCGCAAATGCCAGGGCAAAGTAATCCTTTCACATGCTTGCTTTTAAACCATGTATAGCATTTTAAAAGGTACACTCACCAGAGGTCCCTTCTCCGCCTGCTGAGTCCAGGAGGCAGCCTTGGGTGGGTTCGGGGGGTACTGGCTCCAGGTCTAGGGTGAGAAACAGTTCCTGGCTGTCGGGAAAACCGGTTTCTCCGCTTGCTTGCTGTGAGCTATCTACAACCTCCTCATCATCATCTTCTTCGTCCCCAAAACCTACTTCTGTATTGCCTCCATCTCCATTGAAGGAGTCAAACAACACGGCTGGGGTAGTGGTGGCTGAACCCCCTAAAATGGCATGCAGCTCATCATAGAAGCGGCATGTTTGGGGCTCTGACCCAGAGCGGCCGTTCGCCTCTCTGGTTTTCTGGTAGGCTTGCCTCAGCTCCTTCAGTTTCACGCGGCACTGCTTCGGGTCCCTGTTATGGCCTCTGTCCTTCATGCCCTGGGAGATTTTCAGAAAGGTTTTGGCATTTCGAAAACTGGAACGGAGTTCTGATAGCACGGATTCCTCTCCCCAAACAGCGATCAGATCCCGTACCTCCCGTTCAGTCCATGCTGGAGCTCTTTTGCGATTCTGGGACTCCATCATGGTCACCTCTGCTGATGAGCTCTGCATGGTCACCTGCAGCTTGCCACGCTGGCCAAACAGGAAATGAGATTCAAAAGTTCGCGGTTCTTTTCCTGTCTACCTGGCCAGTGCATCTGAGTTGAGAGCGCTGTCCAGAGCGGTCAGAATGGAGCACTCTGGGATAGCTCCCGGAGGCCAATACCATCGAATTGTGTCCACAGTACCCCAAATTCGAGCCGGCAACGTCGATTTAAGCGCTAATCCACTTGTCAGGGGTGGAGTAAGGAAATCGATTTTAAGAGCCCTTTAAGTCGAAATAAAGGGCTTCATTGTGTGGACGGGTGCAGGTTTAAATCGATTTAACGCTGCTAAATTCGATCTAAAGTCCTAGTGTAGACCAGGGCCTATTGACTTTGATGGGTCTACTCACTTGAGAAAGGGCTGCAAGACAAGGCTTATTCTTTAAAGTGCTTTGGATCTTTTGTGATAAAGGTTATAAAAGTATTTTCATTATACCTAGAACCACCATGTCAAAGCACACACCTGCCCTGTAGCACTCCCTTCTGGCCAATTGTGGCTCTGCAGTAGCGCTGACTCCATTTCTCCTTAACTCATTCTCCCTGAAAAAAGTCCGCACAGGCCAGATAGTCAAAAAATTCCCCTTCCTGGGGACCTATTTATTTACAGCACAGTCTTTCAAAAGAAAACTCAAACTTTCAAAATCCCAGATTTGGGCCCAGCCACTCCCCCAAGGGGGTCTTTCCACGCTTTAACAATTCATTTCTTTTCCTCCATCACACCAATGTCTGACATTACTGAGATACCCACTTCCCGTTTATTCAGAATGTTCACTAATTTGCCAGTTTAAAAAAAATTAATAAAACATAGATTTGGATTTTGTAAATCCAGATTTCATAGGGAGGGCCTGAAATAAACTAGAACTTTTCCAGGTCTCTTATCCCTCTTGTCATTTTTGCTACACTTTTCATAAATCAAAAGCAACAGACTAACACGGCTGTTCCTCTGAAACCTGTCAGTATAATTTCAGTCAGAACTGCCTTTATTTTATATTAACAAAGCAATAACAACAACAACAAGAAAAGTAAGGTTTCCATGTGACAGGACAATGAATGCATTTCCTCTGCAGCTGAACACAAATAGCATCTGCCTCTTCCTTTAAATTTGCACTTCAAAGAAAACAAGTGATAACAGACACAAGCTGCACACACAAGTTGTATAAATGCTGGTTGAAAAGATGTAACTGAATGAAAATGGCATAGGCTGGTACTAGCATTGCCTCTTCAAGCAGGCAATTCAAACTTGATTGTCCTAGATAGGCAGGTTCTGACTTTTCTGCACCCCCATAGCTTTATGTAAGATAGCTTCTAGAGAAAGGCTCCACCAGGTAATTCAGAAAACAAATGTAAATTCTCCTGCAGCAGGCTGCTTTGGAAGAGAAATCCACATTTTGAGCCAAATTCCTTATAGGTCGCCTGCCCACAGTGGGATCACTCTCTCTAGTAATTAATCTCTTTGTCTCTCACTGTTCTCAGCATAAATAGCATTATTCAAAATTTTGCTACAAGGTCAAAATGTAGATCCTCAAACCAAAGTCAAAGTTTAACTAAATAATTTATTGTCGTGTTTTGTACATAACAAGTCATTTATTTTCCAAAGAGCTCAATATGCAAAAAATACATCAGAGGGGTAGCCGTGTTAGTCTGGATTTGTAAACGCGGCAAAGAGTCCTGTGGCACCTTATAGACTAACAGACGTATTGGAGCATGAGCTTTCATGGGTGAATACCCACTTCGTCAGATGCATGTAGTGGAAATTTCCAGAGGCAGGTATAAATATGCAAGCAAGAATCAGGCTAGGGATAACAAGGTTAGTTCAATCAGGGAGGATGAGGCCCTCTTCTAGCAGTTGAGGTGTGAACACCAAGGGAGGAGAAACTACTTTTGTAGTTTACTTCATGATATCAATCTCTGAGTAAGGTGCACGTTATCAGCCAGATTATCACCACACCCAGTAGTTCCTGCTGCTCTCGATAGGAGCTGCTTGGTGCTGAGTAGAACTGTGTGAGAACTGGAATTACTGTGTCACAGGAAATTGCATGATTTTGAAAATTGTTTGTGTTCCAAAAATGTCAAATTTTGAAATGTCCCACCATTTAGTTTTGATAAAATCAAATGATTTGTTTGGATTTTGACTTTATCTTTTGTTGTTTTTTTTATAACATACAATAAATTTCTAAATGAAACATCAAAACATTCCATTCTAAGAATGTGGGAATAAAATGAAATTTTGTTCTGATTGACATGTCCCCACGGAAGGTTTTGGTTTTGACAAAACAGCATTTTCGGATGGCAAAACATTCAGTTGGAAAATTTTCAAACCACTCTAGTGCTGAGCTACTTTGAACACCTGGCCCTGTAGGATGAATCTTGCAACCTTTACTCCTATGAGTAGTCTCAGCAAAAGAACTAAAGAAATTTATTGATGAATAAGGTTTGCAGGACCTGCCCTTTACTCTTATTATAGTCAAGAGAATGATTTCTTTCCCCTAGCAGAAGTTCTAATAACTAGGGACCCGATCCTGCGTCCACTGAAATCCATGATAGTTCTGCTATTGACATCAATGGGAGAAGTATTGGGGCCTAGATTATTACAACATTGGACCAGTTTCTAAATGTTTTTTATGTAACCATTATGCCCTAAAACCAACATATTTTAAGAGTCAGAATCAGACAATAAATAAAAAGTATATTGCAATGCATGCAGTAACCACAATGTTTCAAATGCTCTGAGAAAATGCACAGCAGAAGAGAAGGAAGTAATTATTTCCGTTAAACTGGGACCTATGCTCCTGCTCTGGAGCCCAGTCACGCAATGTTCTCGTCACATAAACAGTTTCATTTAAGTCAGTGGGCCCGATTCTGCTCCCATTGAAGTCAGTGTCATTCCTCCCACCGATTCTCCTGCTGCTGAATGAGGCACTGTTTGAGGTTGGACTGCTCATGTGAGTAAGGTGTCAGGCACTTGGTATGTCAGACTGTGGTGATGTTCTCCAACTGTTTGTCAGTGGGTTTTTTCCTGGTTGGTTATCATCATCAGAACAAAATGATACATTTCCAAACAGTGTTCAATTTTACAGCAAATGTAATCAAAAAAAAGGGGGGAAAGAACTGGAATGAGCTGAACTACTTTCCAGATTCATAAGCAATAAGTATTTAGCACATCATTGTCTCCTCCGCACTCCATATGATATCAATGTAGGCGAAGAGCAAACATGAGCTATCTATAGAAAACAATTTCAGCTGTGAATTCTGCTGCACCTTCATTCTGTAGCTCTCTGTTAAAAGGCTATATTTGTATAGCTTATTATACCCCGGGTTCCCACTCTGATGAAACCCATAATAAATCCTAGAGTTGTGCAGACAGCAAAGTATTTGGATAAGCTGCCAGCCTCCTGAAGTGTTTGCAGATTAGTTTGAAACAATGTAGTACATTTCTCATGGATCCCCCTTTCTTGTAGTCTTTGAGTGTTCCTAGCCTTGAAGTGTACTGTTTCTGGTTGCAAATGACTGCCCATAAAATTAAAAACTCACACACACACACACACACACGAAACCCTATCAACATACATGAAAATCCAGAAAATATTTTGCTTTTCTAAAAGGCCTTAAAAATGAATTTGAACTCCCAATCTAATCTAAACCAGAGTCATGTTTTTAAAGGTAATTACTTGTAAACTTTGTATAAGTGCTAATAGTGAGAAATAGTGCCTCTTTTTGACCTTGTTTTGAAATATGGAATTTTCCATACAGAGAAGCTGCTTGCAGTCTAATCACTCTTGCCTTTCACCTTGACAAAATCAAACTAGTTACACAGCCACTGACGTGATGCCATCTGGCATGCAATTAGATGTCTGCTCTTGGTCGAGTTATTCCTGTATGTTATGTTTTGTGTCCATAATTCATCCCGTTTACTGCTCATGCTTAGAAATGTTGTCCTCCCAAAGTCCAAGGGGCATAGAGATAAAAATCTCTAAGAAGCAAAAATTGTATCTCCCTCTTCCCAGAGTTCAAGCTGATGGGATGAGTTCATGCACACATCTCCTCTTCATGGAGGACTGGAGGAAGGACTTTGTTCTTTGATGTTTCACAATAGCCTTATTTGGTTTCAATGAGCCTTCTTGGTGGGCAGGACCTAACGTCTGCTGTAGAAAGCCAGCATTTTAGATTAACTAAAGCTTCTTTCCTGTGGAACTTACACAATTACAGAAGAGTACAATGCAAACACTGTCACCTTATAACATGGGGCACAGATGTTATAAGTGAGATTAATACATGCAGCATCCTCCAAGCATTTCATAAAGTCTAAACACTAAACACATTCTTATAAACTTAGCATCTCTTTTAACAATACTAACATACAGGTGAGCCAGACTGGTTTCCAGCTATGTATTGGCCAGTGTTCAGTCGAGGCCTAAGGATCTTGGCAGGAGTTGGCACCTGGTCTGCCAGCCTCACAGCCACTCTAGAGGCATGTACTTATATCAAGACATAAAAACATCATATTCAGATTGCCCTGCCTTTAAGTGCCAGATCCTGAGCCCTGCACCAGCTTGAGGAGCTGTGCCAGGGACATTCATAGAAGAGGCAGCTAAACCTTCTATGCTGTAGAAACTGAACACAACAATCTGTGGGCTGACTGCAGCTTTCCAAGGACCTAGCTTTACCCCATCACAGCCACTCTCACAAGAAAACATAGGCATCTTTTTTACTGATGCATTTTGAAAGCAAAAACCAGAATCTATACTGAATGACAATATACAAAACATTACGGATTAATCTGAAATTTCACCGTGTTGTAATGGTAGGGGTCCTGACCCAAAAGGAGTTGTGTGTGGTGGGGGGATGTCGCAAGGTTATTATAAGGGGGGTTGTGGTACTCCTACCGTTAATTTTGTGCTGCTGCAGGCTGCGATGCTTCCTTCAGAGCTGGGCAGCTGGAAAGTGGCGGCTGCTGGCTGGGACCTCAGTTCTGAAGGCAGAACCGCCACCAGCAGCAGTGCAGAAATAAGGATTTCATGGTATGGTATTGACACCCTTTGTGCTGCTGCTGGCAGGGCACTGCCTGCAAAGCTGGGTGCCTAGCCAACAGCTGCCACTCTCCGGCCATCCAGCTCTGAAGACTGCGCACAGATAAGGGTGGCAATACCATGATCCCCCCTAAAATAACCTTGTGACCCCCCCCTGCAACTCCCTTTTGGGTCAGGATCCCCAATTTGAGAAAGTCTGGTCTCCCCTGTGAAATCGGTATAGTATAGGGTAAAAGCACACGAAAGACCAGATTTCATGGGGGGAGACCAGACTTCATGGCGCATTTTTCATGTCCGTGAATTTGGTAGGGCCTTAATTATCATGGTAGTATTCATTATGGTCAGTCTAAAGAACTCACAGTAGTAATCATTACACCCAATAGTATTTGCAGGATCAGGCACTTAGATTGTAAATGTTAGGGGCAAGGAGCATGGTCTTTTTAATCTCTGTAAAGCATCAGGTAAAATGATGGTGTAATAATCATAATTAATAATAATTAATAAGCAAACTGAAAAAGGATTATGTGGCACACTGGTTTATGTAGCAACATAACTTCCTGTGTGAACATTCGGGTAAAGTGTACCTAGGCTTAGCGTAAGTATTACATTGATGGTAAACATAGAATTTTGTTTAGTGTGCATACAGCCATTTAGAGCTCTATCCTGCAGCCCTTACTCATCCAGGATTGAACCCTACAACCCTTTTAGATGAAAGCTTGTTTGAAAGATCATTCTACAGTATACTAGATCTTACTATTTTTGCTGTCATTCTATCAAGAAAGGCAGCTTGAGTTTTGTATCAAATCAACGGTGCTTAGAGGGGTTTGTTTTTTCTGTTTGATTTAGATGGAGAAACTCCAATCATACTTCAGCCGACAAATGCAAATGAGAAAACTCAACTAATCGGAGATGGCCATCGCAGCTATCACACAGACTCATAAAGCAAGAGCAAGTACAGTCTGATTGCAGTTTGCTCATGTCACAAAGAGGGTTCAGAAAAGATAATTGAAAAGCACTGTAATAGTTTTCCATATTTGTATTTGATTTTTAAGTTAGGCAAAGATAATTTGAATGTAATTTCCTGTGGATGCAGACTCTTTAACTCATAGGGCCTTCAAAATGAACAGGCCCATCTTCTGTGTTCTGCACTAAGATACTTACCGTTAGCATACTGTTATACTGATTAGCAAATTGCCCTTGAAGAGGGTTAACGCTTTTGAGCTCAGGCTATCCCTTCAATACAATAATATTCCTCTCTCTTATCTCCCCTTAAATGGAGCTCCCTTTCCACACCTAAGCAAGGACTTTCCCTGATTAGGGCTTTGAGTCTACTCAAGAAGGCACCAGTTCTGTCATTGTCTGACAATGTAATGTTCTTAGTTTGCCACAAAGTTTTAGGGTAGAGACTGTATTTATAATGCTATTGCTTCCTTTGAGAAAACGATGGAAGTGTTTTCAATAGACAGCAAAGGAACAGTAGGTATCAGGAAGGATCTGATTTTGCTAAAGAGAGAGCACTGAGTGACAGCACTAGTCTGCCTAGTAGACTGAAACTTGCTGGGGATGGAACCAGAGCAATAAAGAAGCTGAGTCAGCTGTCCTTTGATTGGCACAGGGCATGATTACCAAATCCAAGAGTTTAACAGTCAGAAGGCAGTTCAACCTAAACCCAAGAGACTAATCTCCTAATTGAAATGCACATGATCTCTGTGTCTTGGTTCTGTGCATGTGCATTACAGCACCTGCACAAGAGCAGAAGCAGGAGACCGGCAGGAAAATACCATACAGATGTGGATGGTTGATGCTCCCTATTTGCCAGTTGTAAGACTTGGCAGCAGCATCTCTCCCTCATCTTGGACTGACCAATCTGAGACACAAATCAAAGTTCTGTTGTTGTTGTTTTTAATTGGAAGTATGCCTGTGACCTCATGCAACCCTTGCCTCCTCCAACTCCTTACCTTTTGGCTCCCTAACTCCTTTGGGATGGGATGGAAGATGACCCTCAACCGAGTCAACAGATAACTGCCTGCCTGCCTACTTATTCCCCTTACTGATGGCTTTATACTTGTTCTTTCCCAGCTGTCCTACTGACATGCAAATAATGGTCCTTCTCCCTCATCTTAGCTCCTGGGCTGAGGGAAGGGGCAGGAATTGACAGGAAGAGAAGGAGGAAGTCATGCTGAAAGGGCAGGAGGTAGCTTCCTGGCAGAAGGAGGCAGAGCAAGATAGGACTTTCTTCTCTTAATAATCTTGCCCTGATCCAGTGACCATTTACCCCATCCTCTTCTTTGCTACAAGTCTATAATACATGTATTGCACTTCAAATCATATAATTATTACCCATTCAGGTTTAAATTGTACTCGAGAAGCAGGCTCTCTTTGCTTTGTTTAACCAGCACACTGTTGTAAGATCTTTCCAGCCCTGATTCTATGGTACTGACACACTTTAGACATGTAAACTATTCTGTATAGACAAATTTTGGGGAAGTTGTATGTTAATAATAAATGTGCCCTTTAATACACTTAAAGTTCCATTTTAAGTCAAAATATAGTCTTTACTAGCAGTGCACTGCTGCACAAAACTCTTGTGGTTGAAATGCTAATTTATTAATGTGGAATAATCAGAGAGACAAGAAAATATTATATGGTTTAAATTTAAAGTATACATATATAGGGTCTGATTCTTCTCTCTTCACTGAAGCAAATAAAGTACATCTCTTTTGAAGGCAGTGGATTTATACCAAGGTAAAACTGGAGCAGGTGGAAGGAGAATCAGGCCCCTAGTTTGTAAAGAGCTAAAGCACGAGTTCAGAAATCTTGAACTTAGCACTGTGCTGGTTTGATACGTTAGCTTCAGCAGTTTATATTCTCTTTACTGAAAACATTCCATCAATCATTGTCACACCCCAGTTCTCTGCATTTGCTATTGTGGTTCCTCTTTTCACAATTCAGTCTTGGGGAGGATGTAATACGCTACAAAATTATAAAAAGAAAAGTACTTGTGGCACCTTAGAGACTAACCAATTTATTTGAGCATAAGCTTTCGTGAGCTACAGCTCACTTCATCGTGCCACAAGTACTCCTCTTCTTTTTGCGGATACAGACTAACACAGCTGCTACTACAAAATTATAGAAACCAGGGAATATATTGTTTGTCAAAAGTTTAAATGATTTCTTACTTAAAAATTGGATTCTGTAGTTGTGAAACATTTTCTTCCTCTTCTTCCCACCTTTCACATCAAATCCCATTCAGCTGCAGCTAAATATACAGCTAAAATCAGTAACTATAATTCCAAATTCATTAAATATTACCTTCTTTAAAGTTCCTTTAAAGTTCCTATGATACACTGATATTTTAAAACCCCTTAATACTCAGTATATATCTCCATTTACCTGTGCAGGCATTATAGCTACTGCTAGCCTTGTAATCAGAGATAGTACTCCAATTTACTTCTATCAAGCCCTATACTACCTGCACATATGCAGCACATAATTACTTCCCTTGCTCTAATGGGTCAAGCTCTGTCCCCAGGTATGCACATTCAACTGCAACTGATTTTAGTGGGAGATGTATGTGCATATATCTTATGGATAGAATGCAGCCCACTGTATTTATATACATTCATACACCAGCAAACATACACACACACACACACATCTGTGGGCCTAATGTTCTACTCCTTTACACTGATTTTATGCTGGTGTAAGACCACTGAAGCCAATATAAATCCACTGCGGTGGAATCGAGAATCCGGCCCTATATGGATACATATTACACATGCTGTGTAAATGATTTTCTAAGCACGCTTTTTCAAATTTATTTCAATAATTTACTGTGAAAGTGTGAAAATGCTAGTGACTGTTTCCTGTATAGAATTAAATGTGAAAATGCACCCAGTTAAAAGTCTAAATGAAAGTTACACATGGTATATAAAAATTATCTTACAGGTGATGCTCCCATAGAAATCAGTGGGAATTTCACCACTGATTACTATGGTTGCAGCAAATCAGACCCTAAGGTAATAAACAAGGGCTAAAGCTCAGACTGGGAGTTAGGCTCCTAAATACTTTGAAGATCTAGACCTGAGTGCCTGATCCAAAGTCCACTGAAAGCAATGAAAGATTCCCAATGACTTCAAAGGGTTTTGGCTCTGGGCTTATATCCTGTAATTTTTTACTACATTCTTAATGCAGAAAGGATGCCTAAATTAGAAAGAATTTAGGCCCCAGTCCTGCACTGTGATCCCACAGACAACTGCTGCATCTTCAGGGAGCCCCACTGTCTTAAATGGGGCTCTGCAAGGATCACTATGCACTGTTACAGCCTTCGTCAAAAAACCCCCAGCAACTCTGAATACAGTCTTCAGGATATGTCTCTGAAAGAATGTGGCTTTGCTAAAATGACACTATTAGACTGATAAAAACTATGGTCAACCTTTTTAAAGTTGGGTGCCTCAATCCACATTTAGGCAGTTAAATAAAGGCAATCTGATTTTCAGAAGTGTTGGGCACCTGCAGGTCCTAGTGAAGTCAGAGAGTCTGCATATCTGAGGACATAATAAAAACTGAATAAGTATGCCTGGATTTGGTCCATAAATATGAATTTAATTTTCTTTTGCTTTTGTTTGCTTTCTACAAGGTGTACTAAGGTGGAAACAATGATGCCTACATGATTTGCTTCCATGTAAAGTCCAGCTGAATTACTATTAATCTTTTGAAAGCATAGAGTTGCAAATATTTTGCTCTATAGTGTTGCATTTATTTGTATAAAAAATACTATGTATTTGAAATCTACCTTTGCTGTCAAACACTCTCTGAATAATAAAGACTCCCTATGTGTACGAATTAAAGCACTACCTTTATGTTTCTACCCTAAGAAAAAGTTGTTCTGGTAACAGCCAAAATAACCAATAAGATCCTGATCCATCCAAAATGTCTATGGTGACTTTCCAAGCTGATAAATTCTGAGAGAACTTTGTTTTCCCAAGAGGAACTACTTGGCAGAAAAATTGGCATGTGGCAAACGCATTTTAAAAAAACAATAACCAGAACTTCAGCTGCAAATGCCTTCTTTGTTCTACAGGGCAGGATACTACTTATCTCAATGGGGAAATCTGGCAAATTTCCCCTGTAGACAATACCTTAGATTGTTTAAAGTTCTCACCCGTACTGTGCATCAAGAGGTGTTACTCCAGCTCTTTCCTGAGTTACTGGTTGTGGGGAGCCGATGGCCCACTTGATAATGCTTGGGATTGGCTGGCAGAATCCCTCAACCTCAGTTTTTCTTATGAGAAGAGCCTGAGGAATCAGGTGGTGAAATCCTGGTTCCATCAAAGTTAATGGCAAAACTCCTATAGTCTTCAGTGGAGACAGGATTTCACACAGGGAACTCTGACCTTGTGAAGGTGGTAGCACAAGATGCCAAACATTTCTATGCCTGCTAAAGTGAGGGATTTTTTCCGCCACAATGTTATTTAGTCTCTGTGACCACAGAGCATCAAGTGATTGGAAATTACCTGAGCAGCAACTGTTTTGGCTGGATCTATTATATGAGATCTGTTCTATTGAATGTTTGGAGAATGACTCATACCAAGGTCACACAAAACAGAAAACGGGAGAAATATTTTTAAAGATTAAAAACTAGCAAAAACGTAACCTGCTGTTTAAACATTTTGTGCACTTTACTCCCCTGTAACAGAAATACATAATAAAATAAACTATTTAATAGAAGACATTTTTCAAATATGCCTGTGGGTTTTAATTTAATTATTTTACCTTTCCTTAAGATTTCATATCCAAGATATTGATGTAATTTTATTCAAGGATTTTTATGTTTTTTTCAGAATTAGAGCCATCAAGTATAGATGGAATGATAAAACATATGCACAATTAAATATATACTTGGTATTGCTGATTCATTGTATAAAATTCAAATGAAAAAGCTGTCTGGTACATGGATGCTAAGTGGCAAGGAAGACCAAAGCGTGGGAGTAGCATCTGTAGTTTTTTTTCTCATGAGCTATTAGGCCTGATCTACACCTAAAACTTAGGTCAACCCAAGAACGTAGCTCAGGGG